CATCATTTAATGCATAATGGTAATGTCATAGTGTCAATGATTGACTTGTAGGAGGTTAACACTGGGGAAACCAAGAGAAAGGTTACAGGAACTCTGTGTATTTATTTTGATCGCCTTCTGCAAATTAAAACTTATTTAAAATAATCATCTGGAATAGCAAATATCCAAGGTGGTTACAGAGCATTTATCTTTATGAATCAAAAAGAAAGAGGAAACAATACAATTCAGTGCACATATACATAATCCAAGTGAAAAGTCTGAGTCTAAAAGAATATCAGTTTGGATATCTGGATACAGAAGCTTCCAAGTCTTCTACTAGTTCTACAAGAAACATCTCTGAGACACAGAAGTCCCAGGCTAGCCAGTAACAGTTCAGGCTACTTCATATGTCTACAACATGAGTCTCCAGAGCTACTGTGGCCTTTCCCAAGGATGTTCCTTCTTGTCTCTTTCACCTTGGGAAATCTTTATTGTCTTTTAGAACTCAGGAAACATTTCTTCTAGGTGAGTCTTTTCTCCTTCCTACCCTGGATTAGTTTTGTAGAGCTGTGACACAATACCAGACCTTAGGAAATGTAGTTGTTTGAATAGGAATGGCCCCATACACTTATGTGTTTGAATGTTGGCCCATAAAGAGCGGTACTATTAGGAGGTGTGGACTTGTTGGAAGAAGTGTGTCACTGTGGAGCCAGGCTTTGAGGCTTTATATACTCAGTCTAGGCCTAGTGAGAGGTCTCCTTCTGATGCCTCTGAATAAAAATGTAGAATTTTCAGCACCCTTCTCCAGCACCATGTTGGCCTGCGTGCTGCCATGAGTCTTGCCATGACAATAATGGACTAAGGATCTGAAACTAAGGCAGCCCCAATTAGATGTTTTCCTTTATAGGAGTTGCTGTGGTCATGGTGCCTCTTCCGAGCAATAGAAACCCTAACTAAGACAGGAGGAAGCTCTTACTTTGCTCACTCTTCTAGCGGTCCATCAGGGTATGGAAGGTGCAGAAGAGCAGAACAGCTTACATCATGGCATCCAGGAAGCAATAGGAAATAGGAAGATGTCAAATAAAATGTAGCTCCAAGGCCACACCCCCAGGGACTTACATCCTGCAACCACATCTACCTTTTACCACCTCCCAACAGTGTCATCATGCTATGAATGAGTCAGGAGATTAATCCACTCACTAGAACCCCAAACCTCCAGTCTGTGATCACAAAACAAACACCGTCATGAGAACACATAGAAGTGCCTTCCCATCTCATAGCTGTTGCTGGGTCTGGGCAAGTTGGTCATCACAGTTAATCACATACCATCTCTCAGAATCAATTTCCGGATTTTCTGTGCCCCTCAAGACTGTCTGCGTACTTCAAGAATGGCATTTGGTAAAAATAGATCACATCCGCAGTAATTGTTTCTGCTCTTGTCACTGGACTGCAAACTCTCTGAGGACAGGTACCAAGCATTCTAATCGTTATGTCCCCCTGGGCAGCTATAGGATGGTATGGTATAGGAGGCAACCTCACCACATTGTGTTTGAACAGCACAGTCAGCCACACTAAATAGTGACCTTTCCTTTAGGTCAAGCCAGCACTTTCCATGGGGTCAAATGTAGGCTGCCAGTGAATTTCCAACCCGATTTCCTTTGCTCCGGTCTCCTTGGGAGGTCCCTGTGCTGGACACAGTCTGGCTAGGCCTGGCAAAGGCTGACAGCTCTGGCTCCTCACTCCCTCAGACTGCTCTGATGGATGCTGTAAATAGCAACTCTGCCTGGAGGGTTCCAGCACCATAATGCAGCATTCAGTGGCTGCTGCCTGGTGTGTGTGTGTGTGTGTGTGTGTAACTCACAGTGCAAGGTAGCAAAGCTCTATAAAAAGCCTTGTGCAAAGGTCGGGCTTCTTTCTCTCTCCCCCAGCAATGGGGATCTTACTGCTCTCATGCTCTGACTGGCACACTCAGCCAGGCCAAAGACAGAAGGAAAGACAAAGATGGGAAGAGAGCACAGGAGAACAGTGGACTTCAGAAAGGCAGGATCTGGTCCCATCCTTCTTCCCATAGGTGGGGAAACTGAGGCCCGGGGTAGATGGGGCCACCTGAGACCATGCAGAAAGCTGGCATGACACACAAAGGGAACTCCCTAAAGGGCTCTTTCTCTCTGCTATGCCATCTCATCTCAGCCTGGCCCTTCCAGAAACAAAGCGAATTCAAGCTTAATTTACATTTGGTCTAGAAACAGGCTCTAAAGAGGGTTTGCCTGAACCCCTCCCCTGGCCCGCCCACTTAGAGGAGCATTGACTCATCAAAGGGGTACTGTCCTGTAAGAGTACCGTCTGCACAAGGCAGAAAGGGACACTGTTTGCTGTCCAGAGATCACATTTCATGAACTATTAGAGGCAAAAAATAGATTTGGGTATTGACCACAAATTCAAAATGAAAAAAAAATAAACAACCTGGTTTATGCTTTGCCATTTCTAATGCCCAAGTGCTCATTTTAGCCAGCATCTTGCCATAAAGAGGCACTGGGGAGATGTATCACTGGCAAAGAGCACATATTCTTCTGTAGGAGTTGAGTTTGGTTCCCAATAGTCATGTCAAGTGACTCACAGAGGCCTGGAACCCTAGCCCCTGGTGGTCTGATGCCCTCTTCTGGCCCCCATTTACAGCAGCAGACGGGGCATACACTCACAAACACTCACACAGACACATAGGCTGTCTTAGTCAGGGTGCCATTGCTGTGAAGAGACACCATAATCACCGCAACTCTTATAAAAGAAAGCATTTAACTGGGGCTGGCTTACCGTTTCAGAGGTTCAGTCCATTGTCGTCATGGCGGGAAGCATGGCTGCACAAAGACAGACACGGTGCTGGAGAGGGAGCTGAGAGCTCTGCATCTGGATCCACTGGCAGCAGAGAGAGAGAGAGAGACTGGGTCTGGCATGGGCTTCTGAAACCTCAGAGCTCATGCCAGTGACATGCTCCTTCCCACAAGGCCATATCTCCTAATCCTTTCAAATAATGACTCTCCTTAAGCATTTAAGGATATGAGCCTATGGGGAGCCTTTTTTATTAAATCACCACAAACACATATACACATACACATAGGGAAATTAAAATAAAGCCTTAAAAAAATAAGAGAAGAAAGTTTCCATGGAATCCCATTAAAACTCGGTGTGCTTGTAATCTTAGCACTTGGGAGGCTGAGGCAGGAGGATTGCTACAAGTTCAAGGCCAGCCTGGACTAAGAAACAAAAGATTGACTGAAGACAAACAAAACCAAAACAAAGCAGGAAACCTGAGTGTGCTGGAGAGACATGGGACTGCATGGAGATCAGGACGCCACTCCATGGGGTTAGAAGCCTTGATCTGAACTCTGGTATTTGTTCTTTTTCTTTCTGGTCACACCTCTAAACTACTCATTTCTCTCCGCTAGTTTTTAGTTTCCTCTTTCAATTCTAGGACCTGGGAGGCCATCCCCAGCTTGCGAACACTCCATCCAAAGATAGCATGAGAAAATACTGGCTTACAGAATCGTCACGGCTGATACAGGGAAGGGATGGAGAAGAGACTGTCAAAAGCCTTAGTTCAGATGGCTGGGCCTTGGGAGGATTGCGGACAGGAAACTGGCTCTCTCCAAAAAGAAAGGCACCTCTAATGTTCTTTCTTATATGAACAGAAGATGACGGGTCCCCTCTGGTGGGGATGTTTGTTCCCACAGACAAGAGAACCCTGCCCACACTTCCTGTAAAGTAGCGATTTGCATATCTCAGAAGGTTGAGAGAGTTCACATCTGTTGATACTGGTTATAGGGCTGGGGCATGGCATGGGTGTGGAGTCATGATGGACAGACCAAGAGGGATCTTGGACCTGGCCATATCTGTGTTATTGTAATGGAAGGAACATGGGCTTGAGCGCCTGGCATGATTTGGATTAAATGTACACTTACCTTCTTGTCAGAGAACCCCAGAGCATTGCTGGGCCATTAAACCTCTGCTGTAGAATATTGTTTTAACTTTGTAAAGATGTGTTGCATTTGTTTCTGCTGTGGAATATTACTTTATCTGTGTAAAGGTGTATTACTTTTGTTTATGCTGCATTTATTTAAGTATGAAAAGATGTGCTGAATTTCTTTTACCTTGCCTGCCTAAGGTTTAATAGAGAAGAGGAGAAGGAGGAGGAGGAGGAGGAGGAGATGCCCAGAGCCAGAAGCCAGGCAGCCACCAGCCAGCCAACCAGACATAGAAACAGCTAGAAAGTGAGAAAAGGTAAAAAGCTCCGAGGCAAAAGGTAGAGAAAGATAAACCAGTTAATTTAAGTTAAAAGAGCTAGCCAGAAATGAGCCTAAGCTAAGCTGAACATTCAAAACTAATAATAAGTTTGTCGTGACTTGGGAGCTGGTTGGTGGCCCCAAAGAAAAATCTTGGTACAAACCTCTCCCATTTTCCTTGTCTTCAGAGTGTGAACAGGAGCAGCAACCCCAGGCAGGACTGTAAGGATGAAATGGGTGACTGTGTGACCTGGAATATAGGATGGGGCTGGGGTTCATGGCCTCTGTCTTTAGAAACTCTTCAACCACCTTCTGTGAGTCAAAGCAACCAAAGAATTGAATCATGGAGAGCTAGCTTGGGGTCCTCTGGCTCAGTCAGCCATCCAGTCCTCAGTACACTCAAAGGAGTAAGCCTCTTTCTGGCAGCCTTGGATAAGCTTTGATAACGCTTTATAAGTATCTGCACAGGCAAGTGGATCAGAAAAATGCAAGCCACGGTTTGTGAGACTTGGTATATGACTATATGACAGGGCTGTGGAGGGACGACCCACAAAGATCAGCTTGACTTCGTCCTGTTTACCTGCTCCTCTTTGAATCCTGGGAGTGAGGTATTAATGGCTTTGAGTTTGAAGGCAATTCAAGACTTTGTCTTCTCACTTGAAACATGACTGAAAAGCTTCTGCACCCTGATAAGCTTCTCCACCCTTGCAGCAATCCAAATCAGACCAAATCAAACAGAATTTTAAAAATCCCATGTTTAATGGATACAATGCTCCTGGATAGCCTTCTATTCCCTCACAGAGGAAACGGGAAAGAGAGACCAGAAAATCATGTCTGTTTTCTGGGAGGCTGTTTAAATACCCTGTGGAAGTGGTCTTGAGCGTCTCTGGGGGAGGGGGTCATCATTTGGCAGGGCTTTCTGAGATGCAGCAGGGTTTGGAGGAAGATAGGGGAGTGGGCTTGGCTGGAACTTTCACCATAACATTATAGACTCTTTGGTAATATGGATGCCAGGGGCTGGGGTGAAGTTTCCACCATAACAATGGTCAGAAGAAATCTACATTAAATCAAGAATGAAGGCCTACCCTCCCTCTGTTGCATTGTCTCATACCATGCATGCATTCACTGGGGAGCTGGGGGTGGCAGGGTGTGTGTTTGGGGCAGAGGTGTGAAGGCAGAGGGAGGTTGCTCTTGGGTATTACAAAAAGACAGGAACATCTGGCCTGTTCGGTTCAGCATTCATTAACATCATCTACTTTGTTCTTACTCAGGTGCTAGACAAGCAAAGCAATGGGGTTGAGTGGGGGTTGCCTAAAGAAATGGAGTCTATACAGGAAGAGAGAGTTGCGTGGTCACACCATCCAGGGAAAAGCAAACAAGCTGAGAGGAGGGCCGGCCTCTGGCCTCACATTTGTAGGACTAGGCTTCTAAGACATCCCTGCCTCTCCTCTGGCAAGACTTCATTTGCAACACACCACAGCATGCAAGGGAAAACAAAGCCAGCGGCCACTTGAGCTCTTCCTCTCAGTACACTGGGACAATTTGTGCCTCTACTCAGTCAACCGTGGGGCTTCTGAAACGCTGACCTTGTCTGATGCTTGCTTGACTTGTCCTTGGCTCTCCTGGTTATCTGGTATGCAGGAGGACTCTGGCTGGAGGCTGACATGAAACCGGAACAGATGAAAAAGACTCACAAAACAAGATAGCGTGCGCTGCTGCAGGCAAGCTCTAGGGGGCAAAGCTCGGGAGTTCTCAGTCACACAGTTAGTCAGTCACCTGTTTGAGCAGCTTCTGGCTGATGCTTCCAAGGTATTCAAAAACCCTCCCTCTCTGGGAAACAGTCCAGCCTCTGCATGGGTGACAATCATGCTTACATTCTAGAGAGCATGCCTTGCTGCTGTCAAAATGATCAATGTCATGAAAACATTTGCTTGTGGGTGATCTCAGAGAGTGCAGCTGAGAATGTCAGGGTGGAGACAAGATGGCCCTGGACCTGCTTGTCGTGGAAGTCAAGAAAGCCCACTGCCAACTTCTTTCGGACTCTCCCAGTCCAGGCCTGGGAAATTACTGTACTCACACCGGCTCATTTGCACACAGCCCACAGAATTCAGAACCTGTACCACAGCTCCTCACTTGAACACAGCCCACTTGACCCTATCACAGTCTTTTCAAGCACTCCTGTTTCCTGGTCTTGTCTCCCAGATGAGCATCCCTTGTCTGTGTGTATTCAACCACCAGCCAGTCATAAAAATTCTCACCAAACGAAGCTTCTCCTACTCCCTTGATTTGAGATTGCTCTCTTCAGTGCTCATGAAGGATGCTCATGTAGCTCTTCACATCAGAAGATCTGACAGTTCAGCAAGGCCAACATACTCGCTCCACTGAGATTTGGCATCAGTTTGATCAGAGTCCCCTGTGAGCCATTGACCTCTGGTTTCATATGTTGACTTGCTATGGGGAAGGAGATATGAGGACTTTACACAATTTGTTTAAGGTAAGATGAAGAAAAAAATGAGGCAACTTCAACTCAGGAGCCTGCTCTCTATGAAGGGAAACTGCAGGCCAGGCCAGGCAAGCTCTTGAGAGCTTGAGAACATCCATGATGGTGCTTCCCTGGCCTTGGCCCTACCCTGGCCCTGGCCCTGGCCCTGGCCCTGACCCCACATTTGATCCTTGATCTGATGGAGTTTCAGTTGATTTCCTTCCAGCCAAGGCTATGCAGGGTTTGCATATTGCAAGGACTCGAAGACATAGGACCAAGCAGGTGTGAAACCCAGAATGCCCTGCACTTTCTCAGTGGTATTCTTAGATTTGCAACACTCATCCAGCAGACCTGGAGAAAAAGTTCCAATTAGTCAGAGTTATAAAACGAACTTGAAATAATCACTAACATGTATTCTGTCTCCCACCTTTATAAAGGCATATTGTTGTGATCTGAAAACCCAAGTTCTAATTTAAAATTCTCAAATTCCTGGAATTTTACTGCCCCCCTCCCAGAACTTGGTAGCACAAGAGGAGCGTGTCTTTGGCCCATGCTTATCCCCTTTCTCTTTCCTTCCCCTTCAATATCTGTGTCTGTAAGGAGCCTCCTGTCTCCACACAAGGACACATCTGGACATACTGTCCAAAGTCTAATTATTTTCCAAACCACTTGAGCACAGCTATTCATTTGCTCACCCTCTATCCTAGCAGTGTGTACCCCTGTAGCACAACCTACATTTGTGAAGACAGACCGGAGGACAGGCCCGGGCATGCACTGGAAGTCACACATTCACAGAGGAATTTGGGAGCCCTCCATACACAGAAAGCCCAGAATATGAAGCATGGGACTCACTGACTCCTTATGACTCCTGGTTCTGTAAAGGGTGGGACTCATCTTACCCAGGCATGGGGGTGGGGTTACTGCACTGCCACCAGCCTTAGGGCGTAAGATACACTGAGTGATTGGGGATCAGCCTTTTGAAGCCTGACCTTCCTCATCTATCCAAGGCCAGATGATGACATTCAGAGGGCTCATGGCCATTCCTCTGCCCAGCTCTTCATTGTCAGGTGCCTTGTCTTGTCACTACTGTTAGCAACTAGCATTGTCCTTCAAGGCCCGCGTGTTCACAGGGTGCCTTTTTCACTTATTTGCTGTGATGGTCAGTGTTAAGTGACAGTGGACTTGGGCTTAGTCACAACTCCCCAGTTTTTCCCATCTATATAGTAAGAGTACAGAGATTGGAGGAAGCAGTGAGTGAGTGAAGTCTTGAGTGAATGTGTGTTGTTGACACAGGCACAGTCATGTTGAGGGCCCCACAGCCTCGGACTCAGAGGGATGGCAAAGCCTTTCTCGGGGGAACCAAGTGTGAGCATTGACAGAGTGTGCAGAAAATGTCCATCATAGTTCCGCCTTCCAGATACTCATGGCTTGGAGACTGCTCCCCGGCAGAGGGGAAGACTACGAGGATTAGTGACACCCACCTCCCTGACACAGCTGTACATCATAAACGCTGGTTTCTTTCTTTTTTTTTTTTTTTTTTAGCTATATACAAAAACCATGCTTCTCTGTTAACCTCTATACAACAAACACACTGGGCTTCTGAGGGCCTGTGGCTTCTCCAACAGAGAGCACGGACCCTCGAGATCCCAGCCTTCTGTTCCTGTGCCCATCTATCTGTCCTTTCTTGGCTACCTTGCCAGCCCAGTCAGGTCTGTTCCAGAAGCTTTCCTGGATGTGGATAGCGGAACTGTTTCCAGTGTCATGGAAGCCAGTGATTTATGGCTCCCAAGAGCCTCGTTTCTCTTTACCAGTCACAGGCTCTCAATTATGAACGTTAAAATCACCTAAGAATTTTTAAAAAGCACCAGCACCCTGGCCTTCCTTGAAGAGACCCCACTCAGCTGTTCTGGGATGCTGCAGGTAACATCTGTCTCTGGGTGACTGTCATACACAGCCTGGGAACCATTGTTGGAAAGACCCCTCCTCCTAACACTCACAGTGGAGCAGGACAGATGCTGGGTCCAGACACACAACAGCTGTAGGCCAGGCTAGACACCCAGATCCACAGCGGGGGTCCTCTGCTTACTCTCCAGGAAGACGGGAATAAACAGAGCCAATTTCCTGGCCTCCCAGCTCCTCACCTCCCAGTCCAATTTCCCATGCTCCAGCCGAAAGCCCAAGGGGGAGGAGGTGGGGCAGGCAGCTGTGTAATCTAGGTGGATTTTCTCAGGGGTGGGGGAGGCTGATTTTGGCTCCAGTCTTCCTCCTTCCTCACAGCTGGAGCTGGAACAGTGGGAGGGAGTGGGGCTGGGAGCCCAGCTGTTGGCAGTTGTTCTCATGTTATCTCTCTCTCGTGACAGCTGCAAATCTGTTGCGGGTGTGTGTGTGTGTGTGTGTGTGTGTGTGTGTGTGTGTGTGTGTGTGTGTGTGTGTGTGTGTGTGTGTTTCCATCCAAGTGTGAGAGTATATCACAGCCAAAAAAAAAAAAAAAAACCCCAAAAAGATGAAGAGGTAGAGAGCATGATGTTCCCTGCTCCACCAGAATCAGCACCTCTTAAAACCTCCTCCTTGGAGAGAGCATCCATGAGCACCTGGCACACTTGCCCTTACTGAGATCCCAGGCAGGAAGCAGCTTCAACAGTCACAATAGCTCCCCTCAGCTAAGCACATACTACATGGTCTAGTAGTCTCCTATGCCGGGGAGGCTGGTGGTTCTGTTGAGCTCCCGGAACAGCTCTAGGACGGCGGCACTATCAGCATTCCTGTCTTGTACACGAAGAAACCAGGCACAGAGTCAGTGTTTAATAACACAAGATGGCATAGCTGCAAAGATCCTGAGGCTGGCTGCCCTGCCCCAATTCTGTTCCGCCTCCTGGCAGTGACTGATCATGAAGAACTGCTTGGGGATGAGTGAGGTCTCCTTTGGCTCTGATACTCCAACAGTGGCGCTGCTTGAATTTGTTGTCTATATATTATAACTCTTCTTGGATAGCACTGGCTGAACTTCGAAGCCGCCGAAGCACCTGTCTTTGTCCCCCAGAGCACTGCTTCTGAAGCAATGGAGGAACAGTACCAGACAGGAGAGTTATCCAGTGCAGCACGGTGAGACGGAGCTCCAGAGAAAACAGCACTGTGCAGAACGGCGATGATGATTTGGCAAATTTGCAGACCTGTCCCTCCCACCTGCCTGAGTCTGCTCACCGGAAGCGTGTGCTCACCGGAAGCGTGTGCTCACCGGAAGCGTGTGCTCGCCGGAAGCGTATGCTCGCCGGAAGCGTGTGCTCACCGGATGTGTGTGCGCACCGGCCGCGTGTGCGCACTGGGCAGTTTGCCCAGGAGCTTGCTAGGTCGTGTTGGATGTCCACATGCCGCTGTGCTCAAGCTGTGCTCACACCAGCCTTTCCAAGATGGCGGTCGGAACCTGAGAGCAGCTTGTCACCCAGGCCTTAGAAACTTTTTGTGTTGGGAGGTTTCTGCTGTGCTTACGGCCTAGGATATGTGTGGGTGCTGAGATGGGTCATCTACTGAGCTTCACCTCAGCTGCTCATTTCCTAAGGAAACATCAGTCAAGTGAAAATCCAGTACAGTTGTTGCCTCCCAGCCCCATTTTACACCAAAACAGTTTTTCAACTTTCTTTTCTCCCTTTAGTCAGGTTTGAGTCCCATCTGCTTAATTCCCAGTGGTGTGGACAAATCCTTCTATTCTCCCTTTACCAGGCTTTACATTTCCACTCATCAACACACTGATACAGGACTTCTTTTTAGAGGTAAAATCCTGCTTTGCAAAAGTGGACTTTTTCTGATGTATCAAACTTAAAGCTCATGAAACGTCCACTGAGATAGATTCTAGCTCACCTGTCAGTCGTAGACCCAGGACTTTCCCCTTTTAACGAGCTCTCTGGTGATGTCCGTGCTGCTGGTCCTCAGGTCACACTTGGAGGTTCACAAGTGTCAGGTGCCTAGAGACACACCCAACTGACCTGAAGCCTGAAAACACAGAGCCATCCCAGGTTTGTGTGAGCACTCTGAGCATGTGCCTTCAGCAGCCATAGCTGATTTCACACCCTTGGGAGCTTAGTCCCAATCCCAGTGCACCCCAAGCTCCAGCTCTGCTCCCCTCGTCTGCCTAAGTGCATCTTGTGCTGAACCCGTGAGCCTTGTCTGCTGGGAAGTCTGGGCTGAAGAAGCCTTCTCCTGTTTCTGATGCATAACAGCTCAGCCCCACCCTCACCACATCTGCTGTCAGCTGTGTTTGGGGTACCCCAGCATGTGCTGCCCTTCAGACACACACACCCCATCGAAGAGTTTTCACCTCTGATGCCACATGGTTTAAGTTTTTCCAAGGTAGCCAGAGAGTTGGGCTTCCTGTTTGGGTCTGATGACTGGGTTTGACTTCCAAGAGAGGATGTGAACTTCAGAGAAAGGATGGTGCATTAGGCAGAGGTCCCGCTTGGGAGAAAAAAGGTCTTTTATGAGCCTATCACAATGAATATGATTTCCTTATCAATCATGGTGGACCATATAAAAAGTATCGCTTTGAACGCTAAACCCACTGGTGTTATCACAAGGTTTGACCTAACACTGCAGTCTACACAGAGACCAACATCAGTGTACTCAAGGGCCCCTCCAGGTGTGGTTTAATGAGAATGACTCCCATGGGCTCATGCAATTGAATGCTGATAACAAGGGCCTGAAGATCAAGATGTAACTCTCAATCACTGCTTCAGTGCTATATATGCTGCCATGCTACCTGATACCATGTTCCCCACATTATGGTAATGAACTAAACTTCTGAAACTGTAAGCAAGCACCCAATTAAAATGCTTCCCTTTATAAGAGTTGCTGTGGTCATGGTCATGGTGTCTCTTCATAATAATAGAACAGTGACTGAGAATTTGGTACCAGGTGTGGGGGCTTGCTCTGAGGTCACCACTTGCTTTATTGCAATAAACTTTATATTTCCTTGAGCACTGTATTTCAGCTTCATTACAGTTCTTAGTGTCCCTTTTCTCTTCAAACTGTATGTTTTGTTTTTCTCTTTGTCCAGCTTGCTCCTTTTCATTATAGATCTATGGGATTACTAATAACCACATGACAGTCATGACTAGGCTGTCTTAAAATTTCCCCTGCCAACACCATCAATCCTAAACTCTTCAATTTAGCCTCAGACAGACTTCTAGAACAAAGGTACCACATTCAATATGCCACTAGAAGGGTCTCTAGGCCACATACTAATATTCCTCCTCTCTGAAATATATTGAACCAGGCCATCATAATTTACATTGCTGTCAGCACTGATGTCTTGCATATCCTTACTAGTCTGGCCCATCAACTGATTTCCTAATCC